TAATAAATATTAAAAATATTTAATTAATGTTTATCAAAAAATATTTAAGGTCTTAATATTAATAAATAGACCCAAATAATATTATTAATTATATTAGTCATTAATAATATTCATTAATAATAATGAATAATGTTATATTAATTATAATAATATTATTAATAATATTAAATATTAATATAATAATTAATTTTGTTTATTTCTGCATGATAACTAATTTTTACAGTCTAGGTCCAGAATCAGATGAGAAGCACAGCTCAATAAAACATGTGCTCTTGTTTTGAATGGTGTTGGTGACTCAAGGGAAGGTGATGTTAGTTGACAAGCGTCTAAGAAGGTTTGCAGTCGTGCAGATCTTCAAATATTCCCAAATAAAGATCAACTGGACATGATTTTCCACTTTTTCAAAGACACCAGATTCACCATTAAGTGATTTCATCAGTATCTAAAATCAATCTCAAGATGTTGCCCTGTGTGGTCAGGTTTGAATTAATGGTGAAACATCTTCAATAAATGAAAAGGCAAGCCCAGGCGCTGTTGAATAAAACATCCGGGCATCATCTGTGGTCCACTTACCAGCGTACTTTATCACAAGTCTGAGTGGCTCCAAACGGGGAGCCTGACACCATGGGGACCTGGATCGTCGACTGGTTTTTCCCCATCACTGTGTCCAGCTTCTCGACTAAACCTCGACAGGTGGTCTCAAGCACCTGCAGCTTGGCCTCCATGCTGTCCAGCCGCTGGCAGATAGCCTGACTGATAGACACCAGCATCGACTGAGAGAGAAACACAGAAACAAAACATGATTATGGCAGACGTCCTCGCTGATACAAGCCAATTATATTCTGTACCAGATGAACTGATCATCTCTAATAACCTTAATAGATGTTTCTTGGCTAATGTCCATCCTTGCTCGTTTCCTGCCTGGTTGATCAGCGTCTTCATTATTCTCCAGGACATCTAGTTTAAGGGGGAAAAAAAGCACTGTGGAAAACCCCAAACACTACCAGCATGACCCATTAAACGGATGTGTTTATTGATTCAGAGGAGGACTCACCTGTTTGGTGTTCTTCATGATTCAAATCTGCCACTGCGATCTGGACTATCTCCACCAAATCTTGCTCTGCCATCATTCAAACCTGCGTTTCAGAAAGATGTCATTGATAAGTAACTGGGGGTTGCTAGTGTAATATCAATATAATATCAGGGTTATTATAGTCTACTAAACTAAACCATAAAAAAACTAAAACCATAAAAAACATTTGCATTAATAATAATAATGCATTTTATTTATCATGCACTTTTCTTCAATCCAATGCGCATTACTTGAAATAAAATAGTTAAGTGAAATAAAAAATAAAATAAACTTATTTTATCTCTGGTAGTTGCCAAAGCAACATTTTTTCATTTTAATTTAATTTAAATAAATAAACCTAAACCTGAAATAAAAATGAATAAAAACTATATAAACATTTATTTAAATAAATAAATGACAAAAACACACAACAAAATTACTAAAACTTCACTTAAAATTGAAATGAAATCAGAAAATACAAAAACAGAAACGCCTTCAAAAAATCTCATTCATATCTCAATAATACTAAATGAACACTGATGTAAATGTTATATGAATTGTTTGCTAATTTGTTATTATTTTGGGAAGGTTTAACAACTTTCATTTATTTCCTTCATTTTCATGGAAAGTGTTTTTAATATTTTAATATTTATATTATAAGCCACAACAAGGCAAATGTGTGATTTTTACATGCAGGCACCGTTGTGTCCTTGGCAAAAAAAAATAAAAAACCCGCCAAAAAGACAGCCGAGACCCCTGAAGGGGCGTTGTGGTACTGAAGGTGACCCTACACTTGTTTTGCCCGTTATTGAAACACAAATAAAATTAATTGCAATTTTTGAAGAGACACTGGGGGAAAAAATGTAAATAAATAACTAAAAGTAATAAATACACAATTTAAGAATACTTACTATTCTTAAATTGTTATTATTATCATTATTAATTAAATATCATAAATTAGTGCCTGGTACACATTCAGTTTCATAATTATTAGAATTTTTTTTTTTTTTTTAAGTAGTGTTGTATGCTCATCAAGGTTGCATTTATTTGATCCTCTACTTTAATAGATTTTAAAATGTAATTTATTCCTGTGATGGCAAAACGGAATTTTCAGCGGCCAACAAGATAATTCTTTAAAAACATATTTTTAAAAAAATGTATTCCAAAATTTTGACGACTAGTGTGTGTATCTATCGTAAGAATGAATGATTATTTAACATATATCATATCATTTATCCATAATGATACCCAGTTTCCCATCACCACTCTGCTATTCTCAAGTCATTACAGCGGTAACTCGACCTTTTACCATGGTACAGTCGTGTTAATACCATAGAGGCATCAGGGTACTGACATGCTATTTCGATCTTGTCCAAAACACAAGACTACAATATTTACACAGTTCACCAAGGTATGGAAAGATTACTCTGGTACACGGTATTACCATAGTAACGTTACATGCCCTAAAACACATCCATACCGCGGTAACGTTACTTTTAAGATGTGCATGCATGTCTCTATCAGTAAACATGCAACCGCTGCTGCTGAGATTATAACCAGGTTACAAGACCTAATTTAGTTCAGCTCTATTGAGCACTCACTGTTTGGACAAACCAAAAATAGCGACGCTTCCCCGTTTCAGAAAACACTCTTTCATCGCGCGAATTTTCTAATAGTTTAGTAATAAACCCAGTGCTTTAGCCCCGTTAGCAAACTGCAGCTAACGCGCTCATGTAGCCTGTTAGCTCTCGCCTGCTAACCAACAGCTCAAAACAGCAGCGGAGAAACGCAACAGGCCTCATTTGTGCCCTTCGTGGCGCGCAAGACAGAGCTGAGGCGAGGACAGCAGGATAAAGTGTATTTCTTTAATGCACAGCGAGATATTTCGCAGACCGCGGAGAGCAGGAGGTGTCGCCTGTCTGAGGGGTTTATATTACCGTGTGAATGAGGAGTTCTCGTGTTGTTTGTGAGGATCCGATAATGGCGTCCTTCCTCGCGAGAGAAAAGCCCGAGCCGCTCGCTGCTCTCACTGCGCATGCGCACAGAATGTGGCGGCTGTTCTACGACGGCGAAATAAAGAGTTTTACAGTATTCAGGTTTATGATTTCTCTTTTTATGTAAATACTCTGGGAGAAATCGACAAAGCCATGACTTTTAGCACATGTACAATGCAAATGCCCTTATTTTTATTCATAGCACATGTGCATGTCATGAATGCTCATTTATCGGTAACAATATCTTGCCATTCTGACTTTACTTCCATTCAAAGCACACATACACATATATCCATCTAATCTATTCTTAATTATCACTCACCTTTGTACATGAATATGGTAATCATTCAGAACAGAATATTTCAGATTAAAGGGGCTAGATTACTGTCAAATAATTTCAGAAGTTTCCTCAGATTCCTGTAAATTTAAAGGAATAGTTCAGTCAAAAATTAAAAACAAATCAAATCTTAGAATATAAACATAAAAAATATATATTAAGATGTACAGTCAGCCATTCATTATCACAAAATATATCCTGACAGGATGCAGGATCAGAGGGTTATTTTGAGATAATTATTATTAATTGTACATTGCACAATATTTTACAGCAGCTTACCAAAATAATTCAGTAAATGGACATGAAATGTTGCTTGAGTTCCAATTCTTCCCACATTTTTAAGAACCCGGCTGCAAACTGAAACAGCTCGCTGGATGACAGTTTCAGACTCAACCCATAACAAACTGGCTGCGGGTTTTCTTTTCAGCTTTTCTGAGCTGGCAGACACGCCAAAAAAGTGAAAATTTAATCCGATGTCCCCTTTAACCGAAGTAGTTTGATTCAAAAAGCTGACTCATAAATGACTTTGAGGCTGTCTGGTGAATCTTTTTAACTGACTCCTTAAAAAAAGGACCAGTTCGTAAGCGTCATTTGTTGGTGAATCAGACAACTCAGCTCGTGTTGTGTTCATTGCTGCTGTAGCAAACACTGCCACAGTGTTGTCTTAGTATCACTGATACACTCTTGTGGTTTTCGTTATGATTTTAAACTCATACATATTTATTATTTTAAATTATTAAATTATTTTCTATGAATATTTTGAATGTGAATATTTTAAATTCATATATATTTAGAAATAAATATATTTTTGTTATTATTTTAAATTCGATTTTTATACATTGTTTTCATTTGCGATTTTTTTATTGTGCGATTTTGTCATTTCTAGATAGTTTGGCAACTAGCTGAAATATTTTATTTCAGTTAATGCTTATTTTATTTCAAAAAATGAGAATTTTTTTATGGTTTTAGTATGGATGTAACGATTAACCGCGAGCCGGTTGAAAATCGATTTACATTATATTTAAATTTTGTAATTTAGCAGACGCTTTTATCCAAAGCGATTTACAAATGAGGACAATAGAAGCAATCAAAACCAACAAAAGAGCAATAATATGCAAGTGCTATATTAGTATATTATTATAGTGTTATATTTCAATTTGACAAAGAAATGTGCAGCATTTTGTCCAAGCAATAATAAAAGGACACATTTAATTTATCATTTGTCTTAAATCTCATTTTGTAAAAAAAAAAAATTGTGAATCGAATCGTGAATCGAATCGTGAGTTGAGTGAATCGTTACATCCCTAGGTTTTAGTTAATGATAATAACCCTGCACTATCATGCATGTATAAACAACAAGATGAATTCTGATGAAAATGCATATCAACACAAATTTTTCATAAACTGAACATTTTAAATGATTCTAGCAAATTTGTAATTCAATTGACCATTTTAGTTGCAGTCTGGAGCATTTGACTGAACATCAGTGTAAACATATTCAATCACCGTAACACTTGTTCAGGACAAAGAGAGATTTTCTTCATGAAACTGATGAACACTTCATCTCCATGCTTGGCTGTGGCCTTCTCGTATTCCTCCTGAGTGGCTCCCCCACTTTCACAACTGAAAAAAGTACAGAAACTGAGGTGACTAATAGACAATTTACACCTACATGTATCCATGTAGTGAAGCATTCATCTGTAGTTTCTGTTGTAGAATCAATCCTGACCTCTGAATCTCCGCGACAAGCACTCCCTCCCTCTCCTCATACGCTCTAAGCAGTTCGTTTTCATGATCCGTATCAAGAAATCCATCCAAGTCCGTTTCCTCCATAACGCTCATGTAGAACGGCTGGAAAAGGGGCACATCGGTGGGTTGGAGGGCACTTTGATGATCTCCATCAATGCACAGGTCCTGAAGCCTGCGGCTGACATCATTTCCTTCACCGATACTGTCATTTGGCATTTGTACGTCCCGTTCAGCCGCTTTCTCTTGCTCTTCATCGTCCATCCCCCAGTCATCAGCTTCATCACACCAGTCTGTCCTGGACATTGCAGATTCTGTACATGCTGTGGTTTTGTTGTCTTGTCTTGCTTTGATGTCATCCTCCAAGCACTGAGAGCGCAGGACAATCCAGCTAGGTATGTATGTATACAGGCGACATGGTCAGATTGTCCGAAAATGAAAGGTTTTAAGGAATAGTTATGGAAACAGAACACATTTGAAATGTAAATAATGCCTTAATCTAAAATGACAAGCTGTTACCTCTCTGATTTGCCACTGCACTGTGGATTGGTGCAGGCAAATACACTGATGGTTCTGTGGTAAGGAGACGCCGCAAGAGGGCAGTAGACCTGCACCACGTGGGACAGGCCTCTCTGACACAGACTGCATATGGGACACTGGAGAGGGATTGTTGGAAGCAGGTCCTGTAATGATAAAAATATATCGAGGGGTGAGAACCAGAAAGGCGCAAGTGACATTTCACCAACTTTACAGGAGAGCCCAAACAAAAATTTCACCAGTTTGATCTGACTTTGTGTACTGATGTCAATTGCTTATAATAAAAATGTGTACACTCATGGATGACAGTACTTTTGCCAGTAGAAAGAGCTCATTAAGAGCTTTCATTTGATATATATATATCTCCATTTCACCAAAAATGTCACTTACGCCCTTCTGGTTCTCACCTCTCGATATATGTATGTAAACTTAATAAAAACTTTCAATTTAAACATCATCCCTTGGATGCAACCATACAATTATATTATTTTTAATAATAATAACAATAAAAAAAAATTGTAATGTGCCTTTCTCTCATACACAAGTGCTACAACGTTTCACAACACAAAATAAAAATGAATACATAATGTATAATAACAATAGACACACAATAACTTTACTAATTTTATTTATTCATAATTCATAATTATTTGAGATATTATGCATACCTATTGTGATAACTGCAAATTCTTTAACTTTAATATACTTAGAAATACACATCTTGTTATATGTTCCAAATATATATAAAAAAAATTTAAATGATTGATATGCTTTTTTTGGCAAGGCATTATATTCACAAAATTAGAAAGCACATGTTTCATTTTTTGCGATACTGACCTCAAAACATATATAGTTATAGATACGTTATAGATTATATTAATACTCGTTGAAACTATAAAACTTTTTTTTCTTACTTTTTTGTCAGTCAATATGCTTCTCTGAACATGTGGCAACTAAAACTCAACTCGATACTGGTCTGTATTCAATAGATAATCAGAAATTATTTGTGTTTGATGTAAAAGATTTTAACAGTAATGTTAAATGACATTTGATTCAGATAAATGGAATGCATATATTGTTTGAACAACTTGCAAATATGATTCTATGTCATGTACTGTATAAATATTGAATATGAATGTTGCTCAGTTTAGCTTATAGAATATCATAGTTTATTCATAATTACTTATTTATTCATAATTCATAATTATCCGTAAATCAGATTTTGATTACTTTACCCATGTATTGTCCACAAAATGAAAACAGCACAAGATGCTTAGTATTTTGATATTATATATTATAATAATACTTTCCGAGAAATGCTTTAACTATAAAACGTGTGATTTTACGTCTTTTTTTTTTTTTTGAATTGTTAACCATTATTGACCACTTAATTGACACTTAGCTCATTTATAATTATATTATGTATTGCTCCTTGTCCTCGTGCAAAAAAAAAAAGGAATCATTTGAATTGCGCGCCCATTTATTCACCTGAATATTAAAATGATTCAGACTAACTCGACATTCAAAAGAACCGAGCCAGCCAGGAGTCGAACCTGGAATCTTCTGATCCGTAGTCAGACGCGTTATCCATTGCGCCACTGGCCCGATGCACAGCATACTAACTTACGGGAACTCTTGACTATAGCGACAATATACGATTAAAATTACTTTACTACAACAGTGCAAAAAAAAATCAACTATCCTCACTGTAAAACACATAATAAATCAAATAAAGTGGTTTGTCATGACAGAGATTAATCTTACATGTGCGTATGTTTAGCCCCCTAGTTAGCCAACTGGCTAGCGATAGCTTACTTTTAAACACTTTTATAAATCTCATTTTTTAATCTTCACTTACGCAAGCACAGAAATCTGATTTCATTTCGCGTACTCGTCAAAAATATTGTCTGTGTACATGGGGAATCAACTACAAGATAATAAAGTAGCTATCAAGCAAAGACCTTAGCTAACTACAGTTAGCATGACACGAACCCTGAGGATATGTACAAATTACGTTTCCTTACCGGTCTATCTCCAATTTTGTTCGTGCAATAAGATGTGTTTTTCTTCTTGTCAATAACTCCATCACATATTCCTATGAGGACTGTCTCGTGTATGGATGTTGCCATGATTATTAAGCAGAAATCTTCAGTCCGTGTGCTGCTCTGAACACGTGGACACCGAAGTTCACACTTGTTACTGAATCGTTTGGCTCTTAATCGTTTTAAAATGAGTTTTATCCAGTCGATACTGGGTTCACATTTTATATTAATTCAGGAATGATATGTTAAATGTAAAATATTTCCGAAATTGTGCATATACTTACGTAAAATTGATTTAAATGATTGCAAACGACATTTGATTCTGGTAAATGAGCTTAATACATTGTTTTACAACGTGTAAATATGAATGAATGTCATTTAAATGTTAAATAGAAATGTTGGCTTTGTCAATTGTGTTAGTTATGCCCTCTTTTAAAGGACGCTGTGTATCGGGCCAGTGGCGCAATGGATAACGCGTCTGACTACGGATCAGAAGATTCCAGGTTCGACTCCTGGCTGGCTCGGTTCTTTTGAGCTAAGATTCGCGAGCCTATATTTTGCGGCCGCTGATAGACTCGGGCATGGATACTCACATAAATAGGCATGTTAATATTCACATTATTTCACGTAATATTAGACTTTTGAACTCATGTGAACTGATTTATTGTTTGAATGCGTTTCGCTTCGTGTAATCTTTAAAGAAAAAACGTACATTTTTTTTTTGCGAAACTAACTTTTACAAACTACACTATAAATGTCTGAACGCTCTGCAGGAGTTACTACTCTAAGAAATGCATTTAAAGGGAATATATTACACTCGGGACTGTGATTCATATGGACATTTTTTGTGTCATGTCATTGATCATAATTCAACTTTTATTATTATGGCCAATATTCATGGATTTAATTCAAGGTCTGAGAATGCTAGTTTTCTTGAGTTTATAGAAAGCAGACTGCTATACTGGCTGAAAAAATTCCCAAACTCTCTGCTTGTTATAGGTGGGGATTTCAATATTGCAATTGACAGTGCTCTTGATAAATGGCCTCCCGGCCGACCCTCATCACTTAATTTAAAATTTAAACAATTCATGGAGAGACTTGATTTGATTGATGTCTGGAGGTCCAAATTCCCTAATACTAAAGCATTTACCTGGAGCAACAAGGCTGCTTCTCATTTCTCCCGTATAGACTTTTGGCTGATCTCTAAATCTACAGACATTCCCAGTACTTTAGTTGATATTCTCCCAACTCCCCTAACTGACCATAAGGCTATCTATATACAAATCAAGCTTTGAGCTAGATTTTTAATCTCATAATACCGTTAAGCTTAGAATTAATTATTTCATTAACCATTATTGGGAAAAAGCAGTAAGGGAACGCTCTTTTAGTAATAATTGGGAGTTACTAAAATTTGATATTGGTACATTTATGAGAAGCTATGTGGGAGTGCGCTAGCCAAGCTTAGGAAAGCGGTGGAAGAGGCAGTAATTAGTGAAATTGCTGTTGTTACTCAGAGGCCCCCTGAAAATCTCTCAAATGTTGAAACTGCTTTGCTTTCTAAATTACAGAACCAGCTTGATGATATTTACAAATGTAAAGCTGAAGGCACCTTTGTGCGATCTAGGAGGAGATGGAATGGAGCAAGGCGAACAAAATTCTGCATACTTCTTCAGGTGAGAAAAGTCTAATGCCAGTTATAATAGCATGACTAAACTCAATGCTGATGGTATCATAAGTAACAGATAACCCCAAGACAATTCCTAATTATTGCTATAAGTTTTATAAGTTGTTATATACCTCTAGGTTCGATGAGGATGACACATCCTCATTTTTAGACTCAATAGTTGACCTGAATACCATAGAGGTAGATGACAAAAATCGGTGTGATGAACCTGTTTCCCTTAAAGAAATCATTGATTCTATTAATCATCTTAAAATCGACAAATCTCCGGGGAATGATGGTATTACAGCAGAATTTTATAAGGCCTTCTCTGAACCCTTAGCTCCATTTCTTGCAGAAGTTTATGCAGAGAGTATACTGAGAACATCTCTTCCTCCTAGCTTGACACATGCAGGGTGTGATTACTCTGATTCCAAAACCCCAAAAGGATCCGCTGCTTATTGAAAATTGGAGTCCAATTTGTTTACTTAACACTGATTACAAGATTCTAGCTCAAATTTTTGCCCAAAGATTACAGAAAGTGATGAGCTATTTCATTGATGAATCTCAATCTGGATTTATAAAAAAAATAAAAATAGGCACATTTTTAATAACATCAGATTAATTTTAGCATCCTTGACTATTCTGATTTGATTTCAGAGGAAAGTTTTTTTTTTTTGTTGACTTCTACAAGGCATGATTTGACACTGTGGAGCATGCTTTTATTTTCCGTTGCCTTCGAAAATTTGGTTTTGGTGATTTTTTGTTTATAATGCCATCAGGACACTTTATGCTAATAGTAATTGCTCACTGAAATGTAGTTTTGGTTTGTCACCCAGATTCACCCTTCAGATGGGCATCAGGCAAGGATGCCCTATCTCACCCTATCTTTTCCTCCTTGCCATTTTCTCACACTATATTAATAAAAGTATACTCGAAAGGGATTCTCACTGCAGAAAGAGAAATAAAGATCAGCCAAATAGCAGATGACACTGCTCTTTTTTTAAGAGATGCCTCTTGCGTCCCTATTGCAATCTGCACTGTTGAAAGATTTTCTAAAGCTTCTGGTCTTTTTTTTTATTTGTCTAAATGTGAACTACTTTCAATTAAAGAGTGCAACCTTTCTACAATTAATAATATTCCAATTAAAGAGAAGACATCTTATTTAGGTATCTCTATATGTAAAAATCAAAATGATAGATGTGTATTCAATTTTTCCCCAATTATTGAGAAAACACAAAGAGAATGTAATTTATGGCTGCAGAGAGACTTATCTCTGAGGGGAAGAATATTGCTTGCCAAAGGGGAGGGAATCTCCAGATTATCATACGCTGCTCAGTCTCTCCATCGTGATAACAACATTCTCAAAAGCATTGACAAAATGTGATTTAATTTCATATGGAAAAATGGCATACATTATATCAAGAAATCTGTTGTTTTGAATACTTATAAAAATGGTGGTCTCAACATTTAATAATACTCTTCAAATTAATTGGGCCAAACACTTTCTCAAAAATCCAACCTCAGTCTGGAACTTTATTCCACAATATATTTTCTCCAAATTTGGTGGATTTAATTTTGTATTGCTTTGTAATTATAATGTTGAAAAAATACCAGCTAAAGTATCTAAATTCCATAAGCAGGTCCTTTTCGCCTGGTCTCTTCTATACAAGCACAACTTTTCTCCTCGTAAATATTTAATATGGAATAACAGAGATATTCTATATAAAAACAGATCTCTTTTCTTCCAGCGCTGGTTTGAGGCAGATATTTTGCTTGTAAGTCAATTATTTAAAGCAAATGGCCTTTTATTAAACTATGAGGAATTTCTTCATCGTTTTAACATTTCTATTACCCCTAAAGAATTAGCTATTGTATTCGATGCCATACCATCTGGAGTTATTAGACTATTTCAACGTATCCCCTACCCTTCTATTTTACCTTCTTTAGACCCAAATGGTGGGGACATATTGCTTTTCATCCACTTCTTCTAATAGATCAATACGTTTATTATTTCTCAAGGAAAATGTTTCAATTCCAAATGTGACAGTTTATTGGAATGCCTTTGTTTTTGATATTGCCTGGAGGAAAATGTGGCTGATTCCAAATAGATACTTGATTACTAATAAGAGAAGAGAAGTTTCCTTTCGTATTGTCCATCGTGTATATCCTGTTAATACCTTCTTAAAGAAATTCAAAAAAGATATTGATACAAATTGTTCTTTTTGCAAACAGCACCCAGAGACTATTGTGCATTTATTTTGGCTTTGCCATTACTCTAAATGATTGTGGAAAGACTTTTCCCTGTTTGTTACTGAGAATATTGATAAGGATTTTTCTTTACTTTGGGAATATGTTTTGTTTGGAATTGTTTATTGGAGAAAGGAACATTTACTGAAAAACAAAATATACTTACTTAATATTTTTATTTTATTCAAATTTTATATACATAAATGTAACGTTTCAGGTCAAAAACCACTTTTTTATGTTTTGCTTGCTGAATTGCAGCATTACTTTGGGACTATCTTTAACTCGTGTAACAAGAATTCTTTAAAAACAATTGAAAGTCTTTTAATCTTTTCTTTTGATGAGATATTTTGTGATTAGTTATATACCCGTCTTGTACCCTGTAGTTGTTATTTTTTTCTTCTTCTTCTCTTCTTTTTTTTTTGTTTATTTGTTCTACATTGTGACTGCTTTTATCTTTGTCTATATAATGTTCTTAATAAAAAATACATTAAAAAACGCCAAAATGTGACCCAAAACAAAGTTTTAACCTTGTTGTAGATTTTGAGTGCGAGTCTACTGCCCTCTCGCGGCGTCTTCTTGCAATAGATTCAAATCAGAAAATTATAAAATACTTCATTTCGTTATAAAATCATTTTAGCTGTTTTGCTCTACCTTTTACATTTGGTGTTGGTTTAAATCGTATTAGTTTATCCCAAAGCTGTGACGTTTTTCACTGTGTTGCGGATAAACAAAACATTGGCGAAACGTATTTAAACAAAAAGGAATTATTCAGTCAAGATCTAACGATTGTTTTTTATGATATCCTGCAGTGACACATATTAACTTGAACTTTCACATAAACTCTTTAGGTGTGTCCCGCATCCGTTCCCTAAAGTGTTTGTCGGAGTATCCTGTTTAACGTGACCCAAATGAACTCGCGAATCTTAGCTCAAAAGAACCGAGCCAGCCAGGAGTCGAACCTGGAATCTTCTGATCCGTAGTCAGACGCGTTATCCATTGCGCCACTGGCCCGATGCATCAAGCGTTTTTACACACAGAACTCCGAGCAAACTGCTCTAATATGAATCTGCATGATATTCACATTTGCAAAGTTTTAAAGGCACACATGTTGTCATCATGTACCTGAACCGCAGCGAGTGAAGCTAAGCATCGCTAAGTTAACTAGAACTAGCTTACACTTCTGTTTGTAGGTCGACATGTGATTATGTGAACTGTAGGTCCATGTAAGGTAGATATCAAACTCCTCATCGTGTCGTCATTATGAA